GCCCGTCTTTCCGTATTACTTTTGTGAAGAGTTGTAAAAGTGCAATGTGGCGATAAGGCTGCGAACGCTGCGAACGGGCTGGTCGCGATATCGGTGCGACTTCAGCGGGGTCGGTGAAACGAATGGCATAGACTTGTGTATATACACTATAAACTGCGAAAGCTAACGCATATCACATGGAAGCCTGGCTGACTACCCACTGCGATGTTACGTACACTGGGACTTCCATTCACCCATATAAGACAATGTTTCTTTATTGGGCAGATAAGGTCGGCATTGCATTAAAGAAAGTGTGCGCTTTACACCTCGAGCCATAGAGGAATTACAGATAATTCAGAAGTCGCCATTCATATTGAAGTTCTAATTTCATTTTAAATTTCGTCAGGTCCCGTAAGTTATAAGTGAACCTGCTGCAGGATAGACCACTAACTAGGTGTCCTTGCTCAATTTTTTACTCTTGTTTTCACAGCAACGTCAAGAACATAATGAGGCAGAGGAGAGCATCAAGTTATAGTGTGCTGCTTTGCTCGCCACATGTGACGCTGTCATTTAAGGAGCTTTGGTTTGTGTACGCAGGTGAGTTGTGACACCATTCTCTCTTTTTTGTCTGAAGCATTCATTTCCCTCATTTTTTGGACATTAAATAATTAAATACGACCATTACACGCCACATATAGGAACAATTTTCGAAAAGGCATGCAGATATCTCGAAAGCAATATGCGTGCCTTATGCTACGGTAAATGCTGGACAGTCACGTTTGCCGTAAATGCTTGTAATATATCTTAATGCTGCCGTTTAAGACACCTGTTCCTTTCGTTAGCGTTCACAGAGGGTCTATTACAAGAACGGAGGTACGCAAGTTGGGCGGCACCTTTAAGCGTCACATGGCGTACCGAGGGTAAAGAGGACAGCTAATGACAAGGAATAGATAAGCATGTATGCCATTAACTATAGCTGGTTATACATTGCCCATAAGATTAACGTGAGTCACACGGCGAATATTGCGACAAACATCCTGAAAACGCATGTGCCTTGCACAGAACGCTGTGCGCCCTGTTGTCACGGGCGGACGCTTCCTCGTCGTGTGACCGCAACATTTGCAAGGCGCGCGTTTGGACATATTCGACAGGTTTAAAAAAAATATGCGTGGATACCTTATGCAAACTTGCGCAGTTACGCAACGTCATACACTGTGCGCACGGCACACACGCGGGTGCCGCACGCGGATTGTCGTCGACGCTGTACGAACACGCACGGCCCTTCGGCGGACCAATATTCAGCGAGCCGGGAAAAGAAGAAAAAAGAGCCGCCGGGATAGGCAGCGCAGCAGTTTGTCGAAGTTCGTATTCGTATACATGACTTTCACTTCCAGGGAGAGCTGTTACATAAAACATGTTCTCGCGCTATGGCTCCTGGTGTGCAAGAGAGGCGAGAAAAAATAATAAACAAAAAAAGAGGTGCAAAAGCAGCCCGAAATGTCAGATCGGAAGAGAGGAGCCAAAAGATGAAAATTGGTAGTCTTCGGCTACACCCAAATGCTGCCTTCCTCACCCTTCGCCATCTTGTCCAAATACGTGTGACAAATGTGGAGCTTACGGAGAAGGAGAGGGGTAAAAAATGAACGCACAACTAAGCACAACGGCATACAGTCGCGCAAGGTAAAAAGTGCCATGGAAAGGGGGCCTGCTCAATTTCTGTGCATATATGCGGGACACGAGGAAAACGACGAGACTTCGGCAGCAGCACGGCAAGCGTCAAAAACGGAAATGCGGGCATTCCTACTCAGGGCGCGCGCCTCGGGGTGGCGAGGAGCGATGGGCCACCTCGAATAATCCGCCGAAATGGCAGGCGCGCCAGAAAGAAGCTTTTCGTGGGGCCAGACCATTGAGCCGGCCGATGAAGGAGGGTTATTCAAATACACGTCACGTTTATGCGCCCAGCGCTCAAATCAATTACCCGCTAGTCTCATAAAAGAGCTAAGGCCAAATAGAAGAAATGAAAAATCAATCTTACAATACACAGCACCTTTTTATGCACGAACCGTCACAGGTTTATTGAATTAGGAAGAAGCACACGTGATCACAATGCACTTAGGCGTACGCTTTTCTGCGTGAGTGTGTGTTTATGCGTGAGTGTATTTGGCGTCTAAGATATATGACATCGAATAGCAACATGGACAATAAACCTATATATAGCGAAATAGAATGCACTGCGTGCAACAGTACCGCATGAGTCCATATATGGGTTAAGCATGCAGGCATAAGCGTGCGGCGAAATAATTGAAACACAACAATGATGTTATAAACTTCTAGATTTTTTAATATTTTGAGGACTTTATAAATTCGCAATATTCATAGCAGCATGTGAATTAAACCAATACACGGGGAAATAGAATGCACTATATGCCACAGTACCGGATTAGGCTATATATGGGTTAAGCATGCGGCAAAATAACCGAAATATAACAATTTTGTTAAAAGCTTGTAGCTTTCTTAGTGTTTTGAGTACTTTGTAAACCCGAATATTCATAATACTGAACCTTATAGCCCCTAATATTAAGATGCGGTTACACAAGGCCGGACAGCGCTATTTAGTTTTGAGTTATAAACGACCCCAGCTCTGTAGAAATTGCATCGCTTAATATATACGAGCGGTACAGAAACTTCGTTTGCAGGTAACTTAGCAAAACCACTTTTGACGTCTACGTAAAGTTTGCCGTTGGTAGTAGGCTGCAGGTAAACGCGCATCTCGCTGGTAAGGTGCCACTCTTCTAGACACACAGCGTACAAAATTTGTGCAATACAGAACCCAGGATTGCACATGGATCCGACGAGACATTTTATTTTTAAACCACCGTTAATACTCAATGAAAAAACAGACAACTACAATGAGATGGTGAATAATGCGTCCGTTAAAATACACTGCCCATCATATCTAATTCAAGCAAACATTGAGTAAGTTCATCCTCGTTACGAGTTTAAAATAAACTGTGGCCCATTTGTACAATGCTCTGCCGATTCACAGCGCGTCGCTTTTCGAGATTACGTGGTGTGCTGACGGCAAGGTTATCGCGTTTCTTGGCGCAGTTGTGTTTAGTTGTCCTGCCATCGTTCCTCATTTCATTAGCGTTGATGAGAGCAAATTCTTCCTTTCATTACTTACTAGTTGTCTGACTACTGCTACCACTATCAGCTGATAGCATATAGTTTCTTAAAAAGTACGAACACACACATGATTAAAGCGGCTTAACGTTGCATGTGGGTTTGCACAGTTGTTTTGAGTGGAAGAATACAAAACTTTTTAAATAGAAAACCAAATAAAAAATAACCTAATATAATATACTATACTAGCTTTATTGGTTATATTCTCATTTTTCTGGTGCATAGGAAAACTCGCACAGCGATGTGCTGTGACTGGGAGTACATTTTACGACGTCACAACTTGTCAAGCGGCCACAAACGCGAACCGTAAACTATTGCAACCTTCACAGCATCGTCAAACGCACGGACGAAAGAAACCAACTGCCGTCAAGAAGAAGGAAAGCGCTACGAGTTGCGTTTTTCTTGACACGAATGACTGCTAGTGTATGTTCTATTTAGCTCACTGCTGTCACATCTACGCTCTTATGACGGGCAGTGAGACTCGGACATACTGACTTGAAACTGTGAGCTTGCACGTCTCTGTTGAGGCCGCTTTTGAGTCTCAACTTTCACCGACATGAGACGTTTGTTCATCGTAAGCGCTTGTTCAAGCCACTGTCCGACAAAAGAATCATGTCAATATTCCTGTGCAGCTTTTGCATAAAATGAAGCGCGCTTTCAAGGTCTTTACTGTTATTACAAACAGAACGGAAAGAATGTTCTTGAACCTAACAGCTGTGAATATACAGCTGTGAGCGGAGGATATAGAGTAATTTTTCGGGTTCAACGTTATGATTGTTTCTTTAATTTTGTTCTTGATGCTAACCTATCGATTTCCGTGTTACCCCTTACCGCTTCACGTTTTGCTATAACAATATAAAAGATTTCAATATCTAATGTGTACTCTTTTTTGTTCAATCGTGCAACAGAAAGCCGTGTGTAGCATACGGGCAAAAACGTTTATTGGGGCTCAAGCGCCAACATACGGCTAAACACTGCTGTTGCCATTGAGTTTCCTAATATACACTATAGAGGGAACTATGGCGCTAGTGGCTATGAGAGTTGCAACGCACGGCGCTTTGAGCATGGGAATGATGGGTAGTACACACATTTGTCCAATCTTTGTACTTCTGGCCTGTTTTTGGCTCCGTGTGTGTTCGTATGGCTTGGAGCTGTTTTGTTACGAAACAAAAAACACCAAATGTTCAGCGGTTGCGCTTCACCACGTTATTCTTTTAGACTTACCTTTCTAAATCTGGTCACGAAGTTCAAAAGAGTGGAATTTTTCTTTCAAAACAAAACCGAAACACAGCAATAAACGAAGCCGCAAGTACGAATCGCTACCCGCAAATACGAAGACTAGGCAAATGTGTGTACTACCCATCATTCCCATGGTCACTGAACGATCGTAGCGCCAGAGTCCCCTCTAGTTAATTTTAGGAAGCTCTACGGCTGTTGTTACTCGAGTTCTGACGCAACAATATGCTTATCTATAGTATCGCGTGACCACGCAACTGGTCTTTTCTTGTTGTCGGATGCTTAACCATGAAATGTCATGCAAATTTTGTTTGCTACCATGCGAAAACGTGACAACAGTCACGCAAATATAGCAAAAATGTAGTAATTATTGCTGTTGCTACGTTTTTGCTATCTATTATACATTCGTTTTCTGTGGGCACAACGCGTGAAAAATAAAAATAGTGAACTAGATTTGCACACACACAAAAAGCGTTGAAGTTCCATGAAGTGCAAATGACTGGTGACCATGCGTTGCGGTTCTCCTGTGCCGAGTGTGGCAAACGGCTCGCACAACAGCACTGCTTTATGCTATGTCCAAGGGGCGATTCGCCAAGGCCTACCTGTGGAAGTGTTGAAGATGTCTCGGTAACGGGCCGCGGCCCTGAGACAGTTGACGTTGAAGAGTGGTGGGAACCAGTCCGGTGGTCCCGCCATGGGTCGCAGCGCCTTCCAGAGCCGGTAGAATCGGAGCAGGGCCTGACTCATGAATATGCACCCGGTCACCGCAATGGTTGCAAGCAGCACTCGCTGAGTGGCCGTGGTCACAGTCAGAAGCATTACATACTTCCACGAAAAGGCCGACGTGGCGCTGGAAACAGCCGAGAAAGTGCTCGCCACGATGTTCAGCATCGCGCGGCCCTTGTTACGCCTTATTCGCGTCGCAGGTGCCGGCGCCAATGTCTTGTATCTCAGAGCGGGGACACGCTGCCTTACCACGCGCAATCCATCGGATAGACTGACGATATGATTTTCTTTTTTGCGCTCTGGCGTTCCTTTATAGGGTAACGTCAGAAATCTACGTGCTGAGATATTTTGCGCCCGATGTAATCTTCCCGCTCTTTGGACAAGCGGGGCTAAGCTCTTCGGTTGGCGACAAAAACCCCTGGATTTCTTTTTTCCCCCTCTCTTGCGGGCGACTAAGGTGAGCTGAGCTTTCCTCTGTGAATTGCGTGAAAGCTAGCCACTTAGACCACCTTTAGGCTCGATTCTACGCTTTTCTGATGGCAAAGTAGTACTTAATGCACAAAACCGTCGGCAACGGGGCTTTGCAGCGTTTATCGTTTATGGACGAGCTAAGAGCGCTGACGCCTCTCGTGCGGGAGCCACTTGCAGTATTTGTACCAGGCAGGCGCTGCGGGGCTTCCCACTATCGACGACTAGCAGTCCAAAGCACTTCCTGCAGTCCACTCGGCCTTGAGGTTTACGTCGCAGGAGAAGAGGTTCCACGCTCTCCTTTTACGAATTCACACGAGGAAAAGGTGACGGCGATGACAGGGGCTAGCTCATCCACAAAAGCGGGAAGACTAAGAGTTAGGTCACACTGCAAGAACAAAAAAAGAAACTACGCGGTTCGTGCTGCCGTCACACCGGTAGCTGCAGACCGAACGACGTCTCTCGCGACTGTCCCCCGACGGCTGTCGGTGTGGAAGCTACTCTCGAAATGCGCCCCATGCGCGGGTTCATCCATCGGTCGCGCGCTCTCTCTGCCGCAAGCCACCTCCCCCCTCTTCCCCACAGATCTCACCCCTTCTTCCTCCTCGATGCGTACGCTACGCCGTGCAGGGCAGCCCAGGCAGGGAAAGTGAACGGTGGGTGACGGCGGAGGTGAAAGTTGCGCTGGCGCTGCGACGGAAAGAAGGTCAAGACGACCGCTCGCCTCGTTCCAGCGTCGGCAACAGCTCCAATGGATTTCACTCTCGGTCGACGGCGGGCGTGCGCGCTTTCCGCGGAACCGGCGCTTTGTGGCTCGAGGGGAAGGCGGCTGCTACGGCGGCACTACGGGCTACCCAGCTGCACTTGCGTAGATTTGCTCGTACGACGTCAATCAGGTGCCAATAAACGATCCCTTGTGCTAACCAGCTCGTTTCAAAACGGGCTGTATTGCTACATTAGCTACGTCGCTATTTTAATGAATTCGGCGCAATGCATCTAGCCGGTATACGGCTTGTTTAGCAGCGTACATCTGCATGCACATCATAGAAGTTTTTTTCTGGCGAATTTCTCACGTACGATTTTATGAGCGATATTTTTTGTGGAATCACGGGAATACTGCGTTGACTCTAGAGGGGCTTGATTGCCGTCTTAAATTTTTTTCCGGAATCGGTACCTTTTGAGGAATACGGCGAGCATATAATGTCATTGTCTTGGACAGTGGTTGAAAGAGACAGCTCTTCACATGATTACGCGTGGTAACTGTCAAAGCAAGTTTCTAAATGAAATAAATAACCACTATGTATTTGCGATAAATGTGTGTGCCCCGCCACAGTGGTCTATTGGCTAAGGTACTCGTCTGCTGACCCGCAGGTCACGGGATCAAATCCCAGCTGTGGCGGCTGCATTTCCGATGGAGGCGGAAATGTTGTAGGCCCGTGTACTCAGATTTGGGTGCACGTTAAAGAACCCCAGGTTGTCAAAATTTCCGAAGCTCTCCACTACGGCGTCTCTCATAATTATATGTTGGTTTTGGGACGTTAAACCCCACAAATCAATCAATGCGATAAACGTGTGTCAGACATGCACATGTGTTGACTGGTGCCACCAGTACTGGGACTGAATTACCAAACCTTTCTTTCGTCACTGCGCTTTCCTATTGACGAGCAGGTTTCGCTAATATGTCCCGCAGCCGGAATGGCTGAAATATTCTTACTAAAGTATTTAGCGTTAGAGATTTTTGTGAACATGGGTGTCGATTTTTGTGGCCCTTGACTATGATATACACTTCACGGCTGATCTTATTGATTGTGGATCTAGCGGAAGCGTTGGTTTATTAAAATAATCGGAAGAAACTAACATCTACCGTGTAGATAGCTGAAGTTAGTACTCCGTATCCCTTTAGCTTCATCCTCTGTATCCCCAGAGTACACAGGGGATGGTAGCTCCCTGATCGCACGATGTGCAGTCAAGAGAAAATTGAGATGGAAGATATATAGAGAAATTACCGAAAGTAGTTTATTTTGAGTCGCCTCCGTGTTATTTCCGGCTGCTTAATTAGCTTTAGAATTGCCATTTTTTGGACGTGTTGGTAAACAGAACTTTCTGTTTAATGAGCTTTTTGTGTTGCGGTGGATACCTCCTTCTTCCAAAGTGGAAGTGGTAGGTCAAATCATGAAATGAAAGAAGGCCATCCTTCACTGTCCCCGGAGCGGAGGTGCTCACTGACCGGTCGACTAAACCTCTGACTACATGTCGAATGATCCGCCTCGTTTTCAAAGTTGCCAGAATGCGCTGTACTCAAGTCAGCTCAGTGCCTTTATTTTCGCAAGTGATCTTACTGAGAATGCTAAGCATACGTTGAGCATTTCTACTTTTGAAAAATTGTGTATCATAGTCATGGAATCTTCGAAGGTTACCTCTGCCTGTAAATTTGTAGTGACGAAAGCGATATCTGCCTCTTCAACCATTGCAGATGTGGGTATACGGATGGATTGGGATATAATGGTTTAAATTGTGCGCCAAGTCTAAACTACGCCTTTTTTGCTTTCGATTTATCCAGAATGCTGTCACAAACTTCGCCACATGGATGTTTTTCCAATTCGGAGCTATACTGTTTTACCTCCCTTTCTATGTGGGCACTTTTCACAAGGAGTGCCCGAGGGGAGGGCTGTGTCTTCCAGGGTCTTATAAGGCTGGCGTGAGCTTCCCATATGTAGTGTGTTACTCTTCAGATGTGAGTGCCATTGAGGTGGCACATTCTACATCCGCGGCAAGAGCGGATATCCAGAGTTCCAGGTTTGATATTTTGTTTGGAGTGGTTTGCTTCGAAATTATGCGACACTACAATTTTCATGGCTTGGGAGGGGATTGAAGATTCTGGCAATCTTATGTTAGCCAACGCTGTCACTCATGGTCATTGCGGTGGATATAGGGCACCGTGTGAACTATAAGCTTCACGAGACACCTACGATGTGACAGCTAGGTAAATATTAGCGCTATCGAAGCACTATTTCAATAACGCAACACATGTGAAAAAATGAATATTCATTTGTCGGCTAGTCATGTGGTGCATTTGAATTCTGCTGACATCTAAGGCTAACTTGGCGCTGGCAACGAGGCACTGCTGGTTCATGCTTAAGTGCAGGTGGTATGTACGATGCTCAAGATTTGATTGAACATTAACCCAAAAGTGATACGCCCCTCGTAGACGAATGTGACCAGTGGTCAGAGAACGGACCCACATGTACGTAGATAAGGCTTAGTGTCACGACGTTTCTGTGCCTCCTAGAGGTCACTTACTGCCACTCCCTCTTCATGTAGGCTTTCTGGCCAATCATCTCTGGATGTAACAACGGTGAAGCTGCATAACGGCTTATTATATGGTCCAACTGCGTGAAAAAGCAAGCCACTTTTCATAATCGAGCCCGACACAGAAGACGCGGGCAAAAGAGAACACTGGTCCTGGCTCGCGTAAAGGAAGGATTTGCTTAGGATTTTACGGAGCCAGCGGTGGATCTTCGTTTTCCTGTATCCTTCTCACAGTGCGTTGGCGTTGTTCTCGGCACATTGGCGGTGACGAATTACTACATGGCGTGACAGCAGCAGCACACTTCGTGGGGTCGCGTCACTGGGCCGTCTACGCTGCAGCGTGGATGACTTGCGCGCTCACGCGCTTCAGCCGACGCGCGTGCTTGGACGGCGGAGAAGGTGCGGGACGTGCTGTTGACTTTCCCGCTTCTGCACGGGTCCCAACGCTGACTGGTGTCATGAGCCGCAAGCCGAGCGGACGTGCATTTTTTTGCTATAGTTCCGGCCGTTGAAAACGGCATGCGAAACAACCTTCACTTTTGTTTCTTTGTTTGCTGCGTGTGTTTCGCTGACAGACAGCACTCAAACGCCATGGAATGATAAGCAGCTTGCCCCCACAACTTTATAACAATAAAGACAACTGTAGGTTTTTTTGTGCCCAGAACACAATGCGATCACGAGCAAAGCCGTAGTGGAAGGCTCCAAAAATGTTGACTTCCTACGCTTCTTTGATGTGCCATTACACCATCCTCAAGCATTTCACCTCCATCAAAAACGTGACTTTCTAATGCTGAGTCGCAAATATAGCCTTAGCTTCTCGGTATCATAGCGATGGCTCACGCCAGTCTAGGTAACAGTGAGGTCGGGTGAGTGCTGCTATCATTTTTTTTTGTTTTTGTGCAACTTCATTTTCTCAAAACGCGTTATGTTTTAGACCCGCTGAGAGTGTATTTAGGAAGTGGATGGTTGGAGGGAGCCTGGGGTGGTTTCAAGACTCTACTTACTTATGGGTTACGGATAAAGAGACATAGGAGAATCGGATCGTTTGACATGCAAAAAGTTTTTGTAATTAACAAACACTTCACGCAAAAATTTGAGGACGAGCACAACAGCTGCTGAAGGACGCCGCTCAGTCCACGCGCCTTTAGCAAGCGCAGTTAAAGACATCTTATGCTGACAAGAATCTGAAGCTAATAAACACAAATATCTCCTGCCACGACGAAAAAGGCACCAATGGGACACATCAGCACGCGCACAGTACGCTCTTCACGTTATCAAGGCCAAGTTCGCGCCCCACAATTCATTCGTACGGTAGCTGCAGACGTGCGGTGCAGTCAATCCCCTAGCTTCATTGAGTCCTGTTTCCCGTGCCTCGTTCTGCCCTCTCCTTTTCCTCTCGTCCTGGTGACTGACGTTCCGGTGTTGCATGCGCATTAAGCCGTTTTGATGTGATCAACTAGCTTCGCGCTTTCATTGAGCAAATCTTTTAATCTGTTTCTCCGATTAAGGGCAAATATCCCCTTTTTCTGCCGAGGTAAAGTTCGCAATCTGTAACGATGGCAGCAACAAAGTAGCAGCTGAAGTTACATGGATTTCGATGGTCATCACTGGTTGAGGTTCGCCAGGATCGTTAAGATGTCCGGCTTCATCATTGACCAGGGTCATCTCTAATGAACGACTGTAGTCTAAGTACCTTTCGTTAACATTCAGAGCCTAGACGTCCTCGCAGCCAAACGTTGTTCCCAACTTCCCATTTCGCAGTGTATGCTTAACTACAGGATATATTCTGATTGCCATATTCTGCGGGCTTTTGACTAGAACCCTGGCTCAATTCACTAGAAAGGCTTTCGTTAGAAGCTTTCGTCAGATATATTCCACTTAGTTCTGGCGCTGGGCGCATAATTAACGAAAGCGGCAGCCCGGTGGCTCAGACCACTTGTGATAGATACGTTTTATGAATTTGACTCCTTAGGCAAAACTTGGCAATTATTTTTGTTCGCAGAGGCTGTTTGTCATTGGATGGCGACCTCTGGTAAATAATATTTCGAGCATCATAATTGACCTTCTCTCGGTCTTAGGCATAACCTTACCGTTAGAATTATTCGCGTATAGTTGACCCCAGATGGCCACTGAAGCAGACTGAATTCACGGCTCGTACAGTATCTAAGCTTTGCATACGAAAATATTGTCCACCATCGGCAACTGTCGCAGTAATTCTCTCGCAATTG